CCCCCCCCCCCCCCCCCCTCCCCGTTTCTTTCTACAGGCCATTTCTCTGCTGCCACATCCAGTTAATTTGAGGTTTGGGGAGGCTACCTTAGAGATACATAATTCAGAATATGAGTGATGCAATATTTCGTGCAGTCACAGACTCCTGGCGACCGTTTTCTCTGTGATTTTATTTCACTTTTCTTTTAAATTGCCACTGAAATCTTCTATTTTTACTTAGTTCTGGGAGACCGTTGTTTGATCAAACCAGTGATCATTTCATTTTAAAGAAAATGTAAATTGTTTTTTGTTCAGGATCTGACCTTCATCTATTAGATTCTCATTCTGATAAATTGAGTTCTTGGACATCTAGCTAGGTATATCCCTTTGGAAGTATAGAGCCGAGGATATTTTATGTCAACACAATCAAACCCCATCTTGATGCCGAACAATAGCAATACAATAAGTCATCTCTGCTGTGTTTTAATCATCTAAAAGCTTTTCCTGGATGTGGAGGAGGGGATGAAGAAATAAGAGGGTGGATACAAACCAGGCAGAAGGAGAGATTTCACTCTCAGAAGTTAAGAAGGAAAACACTTTCTTCCAGCCTTGGGAGCATTTCTTTCACTTCAGGCTTAAATTCAAACGCGAGCTTCTGCAGAGACCCATCACATATGGACAAAAGCTGAAAACTCAGGGAGTAAACACTCCAAAATGAATGAGTTTACATGTTTGGTCCTCTAGGACCAGAGGCAACAATCGAAAGAACTCTGTTCAAATAAAAACCATACACAAAAGTGATTTCTGATCCCACAGACCACTCAGAAAATAATTATAGCGTGTGTAATCTGCTGCCGTGCGCCTTCCTCCTTTGTTTCCGTTTTTTTCCCTCAGCCTTCCTTACATCCGCCTCTCTCACCCTCTTCTCTTTACAAGCCTGTCAAGCTGTTCCCATGACAACGGTGACTGCTAGCTGTCAGCAGTTGCCATAGCGATGAAAAATGATCTATTGAGGAAGGGTAGGTGGATTTGGGCCATTTTGTTTAGTGTCATTTAAGCAAAGGGAGTGTGTGGGACTGATGCTATTTCTCTGCTCGCCCGCAGATTCCAAACCTGCCGCACTCCCAAAGACACCTAAAGCATCATCATCCTCACTGTTGACCATTTTCCATCCTCCCCCACTCTATAGGGGGAAGTATTCAAGGAACTACACGACCTGACCAGCACCATCAGGTTTTGCATACATCCCGACTAAATCTTTGATTAAATACATTCCAAATCAAACAAAAAAAAAAAAGCTTCTGACTTTAATGTTCCGTTTCCTCCTCCTTCGGCTCGACTAACCACTTTTCCACTGAGGTCATGGCGGCACATCTGGAGGTCGAGGCTCTGTGAAGACGTGCAGACTCAGATGACAGGATCAATAAACATTATAGCAAATCTGTATGCTATTCCTCTGACTGACAAAAAAATCACACGCGCGCGCTGCAAAGCTGCTGACAGTTCTGCCCAGCCAGCATCTTGGAAGATAAATAACCCACAGCTAGTCCTCTCATCTTATGCTCTCCATGCACCCTCATGCAGTCTGACTCACACAAGCATACATGCTGATATCTAAGCCATCACCTGTCCATCCATCCCCTCTGCCTCCGAGCTAAATGTGCTGACTTTTTCTGGGGAGCTCACGGAAGAGCTGAAGCTCAGCAGCTTCAAATGAACAAATAAATAAAAAATAACTTCAGGGAAACACTGCTGGAAATGACAAAGCGCTTTTTTAGATCCCCATCAAAGATTAATATGGCAGTTGTTTTTATTTAGGTGTCAAATAGTCTGGTATTTATTCAGTCATTACTACGTTAACTGCCAACATCAGCTAAACACGCTTCAGTCCAGTCTATGAAGCCAATACTAACAACTACTAATTACAAGATGCCTGATAAAACTACAGCTTTTACATTAGTTTCTGAGCACCACTGTGGCATTCATAACTCATGAATAGCTAAACAGGAAAAGGTTGGAAGACTGAGAAGGAAAAAATACTTTAAGCTAAGAAAGCTGTCTAACTAGTGCTAGATGGTAGCCTTGGCTTCCACTAACTGACTTTAAAAGAGAGCAAAAAAAACAATCAACAATAATTAAATGTATCCTTCCTTTGAACAGAACTCAACAGCCTGTGATTTCAACACTAAGAACACAAAACGTAGATATTCTTTTAATCCAGAGTTCTCAGAAACCGTCTTGTTGACAAATTCAGAGCGCATGGACTCAACCCTCAGAAACTGGTCAAAATTCATAACTCAGGCATGGGAACTCATCAAAAATTTAACAGTGAACGAAGATCAAGGACAATCCTTTTGTCTTCTCATGCGAACAAAGTTAACTGAAGCAATTCAAGTCTTTTGTGTCTTTAAACACCCATTAGTGTTATGGGAAAAAAATCTAATTGATGTATTTTGAATGCGAGCATGCATTGATTCTTACATAGTTATTTCTTATTTATTATATGCTTGTATTTTATTTCTAGTGACATCTAGAGCGCTGATCCAGAGGCACCCTATGAAAAGTCAATTGGCAGAAAATATGCTCCAACATGCTTAAGGAAAGGCACGTATCCAATATGCTGCTCCTGGGAGTTCACTTATGCAAGTTACTCCATCAGGTGTTGACGGTAAACACTCTTAGCCACAGCGCTCTCACTGAGATGAGCACGCATAATTAAGGTTTAAACAAGGCCTCTTTTCCTCTGCCTCTCTCTGTGTGAATCTTTGTCTTGCTCTCCAGTTGTTTGCCGCTTTGATGTTCTCGCCAGCCAGGACGCGAGTGGGTGAGGATTCTATGATTCTGGTAACTATAGATCCAGATTTCACACGATACCACCAAATCACACACTTGCAAAACGCAAATAAGCTCCCACTCACAGCACACCAGGGCGGGCAGGAACCAAAGCTGGAGATGTGTTCGCTAAACACACAAGACAGAAAACTGCACCAACGGCACAGTCATTTCCACCAACATTTGACAGTAGTTAAAATACATGACAAATCTAAGTGTTTTAAACAGTGGGCAGACAGAAGGAACCGGCCATTATCATGAAAATAGAAGCAGTGAAAGGGGGGAGTGGGGGGGCTAGGAGTAAGCGGCAGAAGTGGAAAGAGGCAGCTTGATAACGCTTTACACTCAGCTGTTATAATAATAACCTACTTTGATGGGTCCTCAATCATCTGGGAGAGTGTGGGTATCCGCACACACGCGCACAAACATGGCCGATCACGCACACACGGGGAGGGCTATGATATGGAGAAATGTAACAATAACACAAAGCAGCAGCTTGGAGATGCCAGGTCTCAAAAGGGGGTGCATCCTTCAGTAGCACCACAAACACAAGGGTGGGGTTGCTGGAGGAGAGCGGAGCAGAATCAACATTTGCAATGGTCATTTCCACTTGGTATCAATCATTCTCTCTGCAAAGTACTCTTTATTATCAGCTGTGATAGTGTTGATTTAGATTTAAAACATGGGCCCAAGAAGAATGGCTTATGCTCATATGACCATCATGAAAGTAGTTTGTTTTTCTTTCTTTTTTTACTTACATCACACAATAAACATAAGATGGATTGAAAACTTTTATCATTTTTGTTAGTACTGTTCCAGCTAAATCTGGCTGGTTTAATGCCCGTTGTCCCGTTCTGGTGGCGGGGAGCCCATCCTTGCAAAGTCTGGACACATACCCGAATCCAGCCAATGGATCAGCTTGTTATCAAACTCTGCAGAGAGCCGATAATGCCCCGTTCATTTGAACAAGATTTCTTGGAGCAGAGAAACATCTCAAACATGTCGGTTACGATATTAATCATCAAGTCCTACTTGTGCAAGAACTGTCAACATACTTTGAGTTGCTCTCACTCCCCCCCCTCGTGTTCTCTCTCCTTTTCTGCCTCTCCGCTCGTGCATTTTTGTGCACAGGCGGAGGCTTTTAATTCTCCAAGAGCCATCTGCAAACAACATTTATGCTGGGGATTCGTGTTTGTTTGTGCGAGCGTGTGTGGCTGAGCGGGGCGAGAGATGGAGCGAAACCAAAAACAAGGAGGGGAGGCGGGAGAAAAGACAGGGAAGGGGCTCGTTTAATTTCAAGAGAAGAATCATTATAATCAATCATTAGCACTCGGCTCCGCTCTGTTTTGTCAGTGATTATCACCGGTGTCCTCGTATAAATGTGCGAGTGATGAGATGGATTGTCTTCATGACTGAATGCTTCTTGCAGTTTATGAGGATAGATGTACTCATTACATCGATTCAATTATTACAAAAGTAAGTGCTGTCGGGATAATGCGAATGGTTGCAAACCCGCATGACTTTAATAGGAAAGCGTCACCGACGTTGCAAAAAATAAAAAAATAATATCTGCATAAATACACTAATATTTACTATCCGTTTTTAGATGCTAAGCCATCTTAGAGTCGACTCCCTTTAAATAGAAGTGGAATTAATGCTGAATTGTTTGGACTCATTCAACGAAACGTGTGCATTAAACCAGCGTTAGATAACAGGAGCTCTGTTATTCACACGCGTCACCTCATATGTGCGGCCATTATGCAGAAGCAACAACATCTTCCGTTACACCCTTTCTGTGTATATTCATGGGGCAACTTCCCACAGCATTCTGATGATAAAACTACAGTGGCAGGGAAATTTATCGCATGCACTCTGCATGATTGCACTCAGCCCGGGCAATTAAAGAACGGGACAAATGAAGACTGCGGGGAGAGGTCATTCCAGTATCTGTCCCTGAGCCGCTTCTACTTTCTGGGTGTGCTTGCATTAATCTACTCTTGGTCCATTAAATTCCAGCTTTTCCAAATGATCTCTAACTCATGCCTCGTGCGTCTCCGCACTTTCGAATGATGTGTTTTTTCCTTCGGGGGGGTCACGTTTGTGGCATGCCGCGCCCGCACTGAGAGCGGCGGCACAAACAACTCCCCCGCAAATGGACACGGGAGCGGTGTGATGCGTTTACGCTGCAGCTGGAAAAGCATCAACAGCCCTGAAGTACCCTTAATTAGAGAAAAAAAAGCCTCTTTAGACATTATATGCCAGTTACCAAGAGTCAAGGGTAAAGGCCCTCTGGCTGCTCAGGTGCCCCCGCAGTGGTCAAAGTAACCAATAAAACAAAATGAGGTCTGCTTTAGTGACCAATTACAGCCCTATTGAATTTAAATAAATAAATAGGATGAAACGGGGCACTAGTTTGCTAGTGAGGAGACACTGGCTCAGTTAGATGAGTTTAGCGGTTTCCCCGATTGGGTTTCAGCTTCAAGATCTGAGCGCTTTATCAGATGCCAAGAGGCTCCCACGAGAAGTCCAAAGGGACCCGAAAACTGTTTGGACAATCACCGCTGCCGAGCAGAGCTTCAATGTCGCGCCGCTCTCAAGGAAAAAAAGAAAAGAAAAAGAAAACGGCTCCGCTGCGATTTGCGTTTCTGTCAGCTTGGAAAACGGTGATGTGGAGGACTACGGGGACCACTTCGGCTGCAGCTAAAAAATACAAAACTAGAGAATAGTCTGTTTTTCCTTCCAGTTATTCATCCAGGGGACTAATCAGTCATGAGCCAGACTGCAGCGCAGCGGAGCTGAACCTGAGGCTCGCTGCTCCCCGCAGATGCACGCGGGGATGCAGGAGCCACAGCATAATAAGACGGAATTTTCCTCTGCAGTCAACAGCACGCCGCGCCGTACCTGGCTTATCGTTTAGCGTACCCGGCATGACCTCGAGCCGTAAAGTCTAACCCCCCGGATTCCTCCGGCGTGCGGCTATGATGGCGCCTCGATTTGCTTCGCAGATTCATAAACCAACTGTGCACTGGAGGTCAGTTCCTCCGCTCGGAGACACTTCTCTTCATTTCCAACGGCGTCGGCTTGACCTGCGGTGTTCTGCTTATCGTGGGTTGCTTTGAAAGCAATTACCCAAACACCTCCCTGACATGCCTGAAACTAGTTATAGCATTTCCCAACGAAGATTCGGATAAACACATGAACACAACGCAGACAAACAGGCCTTCATGTGGCAGAGGTAATTTTTTCTTTGTCTATTATTACCACTTTTTTAAAGTAGAACTCTGTAATCTGGTACCTTTTTGTCCTCTTGCGCATGAGACGACACAGAATTCTCAGGAAAACAAATGGTTCCTCAAACCAAAGACCAGAGAATTTCAAATTTTGAAAAACAATGATTCCAATCTCAATCTTTCCATCAATTGGTAGCACAGCAGTGTGTGATAGTGTGAGCTCTCACTTAATGACAGCCCCCTGAGCTCAGATTTACATTAGGAAATGCCGTTTTCTAATCTTTCTTTTTTATTCTGGACACAATGTGCTCGGCTTCATGATCTAAAGGCGTCTCAGAAACGCCTTTTTTTCTGAGAACAACAGCCTCACACCTGTAACCCAAAACAACAAACCAAAGCAACACATCTATAAAGACAAAAAAAAGAAGACACTTCAAAATGTGTCCTTTGCCGGGCGTCTGTCCCAGAGCCTGACGGAGTTTGGGGAGTTGCAAAGCGCCCTCACTGTTCGGCACGAGCGCCAATTTATTCGGGGGAGGCTTGGGTTTCTCCGTCTATTCGTTTTAATAACTGACGGTCCAGGAGGGTGGCGAGTGCTCGGCTTGTTTCCGACCGCCAAATTCTGTCACATTTCTGTTCCGAATGACAAACGAAGCCGGCGGTCGGCTGGTTTCTAATGCTAATGAGCGTCCTGAGCTGCAGCCGCACAGAAAATGCCGGTGATGAGCTTGTTACTTCTTCAGCCTCTGTGTGTGTGCGTGTGTGTGTGTGTGTGTGTGTGTGTATGTGTGTATGTATGTGTGTGTATGTGTGTGTGTGTGTGTGTGTGTGTGTGTGTGCGTGTGTGTACACACTGCCCCTACCTTGCGACCGTCGCTGGCGTGGCAGTTGACGTTGAGTGGCGTGAGCAACGCCATTAGCTTCTCCTCATTTCCGCTCCTGCAAATGGAAAACACACCATCACACGCGTTAGTTAAAGAACAACCGCCGCTGGAGAGGATTAGTAAGACAGCAAGAGACAGAGAAAAAAAGCATGACAGAGAAAAAATGGTGGGGGAAAAAAAAAAGAATCAAATTCCATCTGCTGGAAGAGAGTGACATAAAGAAATGTGTCAGTTATGTGTACTTTATCCTTGGCTATAGGGGGTTAACACTGTGTGTGTGTGTGTGTGTGTGTGTGTGTTGTTGAGCTGTGCTTCCAGGCTGAGACCGGCTGCCCTGACATTGGATGGACACCAGGAAGTGATGGCTAAAGCAGTAGCCCCTCTAACCCCCATCCGGCCGACAGCCAAAAGAGAAAAAGCTGTCAGTCGGTTTAAAAAGAACTATTGTCCTATTCTTCCGTGATCCTCTCTTTCCACTTTGGTTGGGCCTCTCATTCCTTCTCTTTGTTTACTGATGTTCCAAAAAGGCATTTATAAGCTCACTTCCCTCGGTTTGGAGCTCAGCCCATGTCTTCTCATCTCTTCTTTTCCGCCAGCTTCCTCTTTAACAACTTTTACCCGTATCTCCTCACAACGCCCCCCCCCCAATCCCCAGCATCCTCATTGTCTTTCACCCGTTCCTTTGTTCATAACTGTGGCTATCAACGAACACAAGAGATGCAACCTCATTTTAAAGGAAACAACAACATCAGCTGAAAAGACAAAAAGTCCAAAGTGGTTTTTGGTAAAAGGGTTGAAACAGCTTTCCTTTGAAATTCAAAGCCACCCCTTGAGCATTAAAAGAGAAAGAGATTAAGTGGATGCGAGACCAAACAGCTAAAAGACCACTGCCCCATTTTTTGGGATGATGTACACAAATCCTAGAAAATCTCATTCCCAACGGAGGTGGCAGTTGCCCCGCTTAAGTCCGACTTTCATCACACTGAAGCCAAATTACCTTCAAGCTCAAAACTAGCTTGGAGAATCAGAAAAGGTCACTGAAATCTCGATGTTTAATTTATATTGTTGAACTTATCTATCCACTGAACTGTCGATAGATAACAAGCATCATTGCTTGCTCAGCGGTTTTGGAATGCATCCAACCTCTAAATAGCCTTGACTTCTTCTCTGGTCCCAAAATACAAACTACAGGATCCCACAAATGTGTGAAAAGGCTTTGGGAAAAAAAGTCTTGTTGGGATTATACATATCACCACTATTTCTGGAATGCACGCATAGTCTGACTAAACTAAAAGAAATGGGGGAAAAAGAGCTTATTTTCACTATTTTTTTACCAATGGGATCCGGCTCGGCTTTAAAGAGAAAGACGCTAAAGCAGAGTACAATATGAGTACATCCTTAAAGTTAATCTTTAAATAAGGAAGAAGCTTTATGAAATATCAGATGCTGGACGTTATTGTCGGCTCACTGACAGACAGCAGAGCTATTTTCCTTATGGATTAGTCTTATACTTGCTCTTTCAACCATGAGCTGTCACATGCATTAAAAACATATCTTTTTTTTTTCTAACCAGGGCACCGAGTCAACGGATTCTATTTCTTATAACTGCACACCCTTTGGTTTGTCATTTACCCCCAATACTTAGCAAAGAAACCTCCAACTACCTACAAAACGAATATGAAAAGGTTAATATGAAGCTGGCGAGCATTCCATTATCTAAATGTGCACTGCATCCCATATGTATTACATCATCCCAAGCTGTTACATCCCATAAACTTTGTGGGGGAGTTTGACTAAACACAACGCTGAATTAAGTAAGAGGAAATTCCATAGAATGACATGGATGATAAGCCCCTCACGGGCTCAGATGTGGGCTCCTAGTTTACGTTTAAACAGCCTCCTGACCCCATAATACACTGGGGTATCTCTCTGGTCGGCCAGCTGCTTCTTATGTGTGTGCGTCTGTGTGTGTGTGTGTGTGTGTGTGTGTGTGTGTGTATGTGTGAGGGGGTTCTGCTCAGGCATCAAGCGCTCAGCCACCCACCCGCAATCCCAAAACGAGAGCGATTCCACTTCCACATACGAGAGAAGGAAGCGCACAAACGCACGGCCCACACGCACAGCCTGCAACCCGAAAACTGTCTCACACAATCACAAGTGTCTCCGACCCACAAGCACCGAGCGCTCCAGTTCCCAGATACCTGGACTGTGTGGGAGCTGAGAGTGTAAATGTGTGTGCGAGCAAATGGAAGGGGGGGGGATAGCTCACATACACAAAAATTCAGGCAAAAGGTAAAGAGATGAGCAAATAAGAGGAAAAATATGGAGGGGAGAAAAAATTGAAGGGTAAGAAAACCAAGGCGGCCATTCTACACCGGAATAGAGGTTTAGGTTTAATAAAAGAGAGTGTACAAGGAAGAAAACAATGGTTAGACAAATAAATAAATAAATAAAACACAGTTGTGGGACAGATAATGAAAAAAAAGTACAAATACCGATAAGAGAGAGATTAGAGATGTACAAAGTGACCACGGGGGGAGGGAGGAGAGGGGGGGTGACAGGCTCTAACAAAGTAGGAAGAGGAGTAGGCAGGCAGGAGGAGGAGAGCAGAGCAGAGAGCAGCAAAGTGAAAACAAAGAGCACGCCGACTCCGGTACTCACCGTGCCGCCTCCAGCAGCTCGTCCTTCTTGTATTCGCCTAGACGGTGACAGAACATCATGGTGTCAGACAGCTGGCCACTAACGCGCGTCCACCACACGCAGACACACATGCTCACGCGGACGGCACAGACACGCACGGGTCCACACACTGTCTACGGGGAGGAAGACACCATCTTTCTTCCTATCTAACCCCCCCCCCCCCCCCCCCCCCCCCCCCCCCCCCACGCCCCCCTCGGCGCGCACCCCTCTGGCTCCCGTTCCCCCGACGATGCGTTGCCGGCAGCGACCACAGCGCGTGCATTGTTTGGGGCCGCGAGCGGCGGACTGGCGCTCGCGCCCGCGCGCGGGCGCGCTGCTGCCTCCCTCCGTTCGTCCGTTAGTCCGGGCGTCCGGCCGCCCCTCCCTCCTCCGCGGCCGCCCTGTGCTCTCCGGCGTCTCCGCCGCTGCTCGGTCGGCTTCCCGTCATCCCCCGGTTCACCGTCCGTCCCCGTCTCTCTCTCTCTATCCTCTCTCTCTCTCTTTATCCCCCCCCTTTCCTCTGCTTTTCCGCTCGCCCCGCTGTGAGCTCAGGGGGCGCAGTCACCGTTAAAAACCCAAACAGATATAAACAAACCCCTCCCCACCCCCCACCCCCCCTCCTCCCCCTCCCCCCAGCTTACCTCCGCCCCCCCGCTGCCACAGTCACAACAAAACGCCCCCCCAAACAGCCAGAATCCAGACAGCTAGATCCAGGTGTCCCTTGCCCTCTCGGTGGGAAGATGGCCGGACAGGTGATCCCAGCCATAGGCTTCACATTTAGTGATTAGTCGTTTTTTTAAACGTAGAAAAAGGGGGAGAGAAACAGAAATAAACTCTGGGTTTTATTTGAGCGGAGTGGCCGTCTGGAATGCTTTAAAAGGTGAAAGAGAGCGGTGCTTTTCTTCCGCGGCCTGAACGCATCTGTGAGCTGGATATTCAAATGAGCCGAGAGTCCATTTATATGCAAACACGGCCAAACGCATTAAGAGACACATCTAAGCTGGTTAAACACTGAATTTCTGGATGATCAAAGCGGGTTTAAGGGATATTACACACAGTCAGATTGGTGTAACTCGGTGAGGCGCAGGCTGAGGCTTGATGGTGCATTCAGGTGAACCTTGTAAATGTCAACATTTTCTTTGTTGGAATCACTGCCTCATTTTTGTCTCGTTTCTTCACTTCAACGGAATAACGCCAAAAGAAATGGCTAAATACACAACTTATGTGATTTTTTACTTTAAATTACAATTTGTCTACAAGAGAGGACCAATAGGGAAGAGTTGTAAACATACAAGGAGAATTTTTCTTTCTTTGACATTTCAGTTTAATCTTTCTTTATATTGGAAATGAGTTGTGAAAACACATTCTTCCATTCACAGTCTCCTTAAGACTAGCATTATTCCAGAGGTCAGGGGAGAGATTTATTCTTTTTTTTGTTAAAAACCCTCTTAAACCCTCTCCTTCAGTGTCACGATCACTCTAAAAAGAAAAATGGGGGAGAAGGGCGTTTTGATTTACGCATGATATTTATTTTATACTTGAATGGACTTCAATGTCAAAGAAATCCTCAGATTTGATTTTCAAACATTGAACGTCACAACTCTGAGTGCATCCTGCTCCAAGGCCTCTGATTTATTCCTACTATTCTTATTGAAAGCTGCACCAAAGTCAGGTTGTTTTTTTAAAGGTTGCCCAAACTTTAAGTCACCAACAAGTTCAGTGAAATTCTTTTTGTGCACTTTCACAAAGAATCAGACAGCAGCCTGGTCATGCCACCACAGAAAAGGGAAATACTGTTTACATCTAGAAAGCCCCATCAAACACAGGACCTCCGATACCATCCTGTCTCCACCAAGTTCTCAGCAGAGTTTTAAAGACTAATTACATGGAAAAAAAGGAGGTAGAAGTAGGTGTGCTGAAAGCAAATGCAAAAAAGATGAGGAGGCTGGGCTGTGTGCGCGTGGAGCAGACGGATGGGCGGTGTCGGGCGAGGGGGAATGAAGATGGGCTACAGGGAAGGGAGAAGTGGGAGGAGGGAGGAACAAAGGATTTGTGGATGAAAGAGAGGGGAGATGATTAGGGATGAGGAAAGTGACACGCATGGATTTGACAGTATAATTGGTGTTAGAGTCTGGGGTCGACCTGTGTGGTGGGCGGCAGGGACAGGGGCGTGGGGGGGGGGCTGACAGGCAGTGGAACGGGAACGCATGAAGCCCAAAGGAAGGAAAACCGGAGGCATGCTATGAGAGGCATCGGGAAACTGATTAAAGTACAGAGCCAATACCAATTAAGCTGCTCAGACAGATGTAGCTTTCCGTTTTCATCACAGTCCTCCAGGAGCTCTTCATCACGTTCCCACCTCCATACGACACTCACCCTCTGCCCCTCCCACAGCGTTATCACCCAAAATCTACACAATTAACCAGCTCCTCTTTCTTCTATTAGCCATCGAGCTCATGTTTTAGGCATTATGGGCTGAGAGCCCGTGTCCTCATTTGGGCCTCTCTGAACCATGACACTCATGCTAGATGCTCAATTTTAGAAATCTAAAATAAAACGGTTTCAGATATTTTTAACCAACCGTGTTTCCATTGTGCGACTGGAATTTTTCAATTAAATATTTAGAACCAAGTATTCAAAACCAAATTGCAAAGAAAACTTTAAATGCATACATACACATTCTAAATACAAAGATAAAGCCACTATCCCTATACAAGAAAAAAAATTCCTGTAACATGTGTCCAGTTAATAAACTTATTAGGTCCTACTAATCCCAAAAAGCTTAGAGAAAGCCAAATGCACATCATTTAAAAGCTTTGGTATCTGAAGAAAACACAACACAACAAAAGGAAAAAGCCTCCCATCTGAAAAAAAACTAAAAACCGCTCAGTGTACCAGCACTATCTGCCAATGGGGGGGGTAGATTCCTGTTATCGGGAGGGAGAGTTGGAATCTCGGTGGACGTACGGCCTTGGCAAATGTTCGCGTTTTGAGTTCATCGTTGCTTTTTTGGGGTTTCACATCTGGCTTTTTAAATATTGATTGCAGCTCCACAATCGTCATCCCAGACCTGCATTCTGCATCAAACCCTTTCAGCGGAGCCTCCTCCCACCCGAAGCTTCCCAAACACACCGGCAGGGTGGGTTCCGGAGAGCCACGGGGGGAAGGAGAGATTAGAATTCCGAGACGACAGTGGCGTTCTGACCTTCAAATAAAGGTTTCTAAAGAGGCGGTCCACCCCGGCAATCTAACATACGACTTATGTTCAAAACACAATCAGGGACGGACCACGGGTCAATCCACCCTCCGAGAGGATGAACACGTCCAGCTTTGTTAACTGAGAAAAGCAGATGAATGGCTTCTTCTTATAAAAAAAAAAGATGTTCAATAAAAACTAGGTCTAGTTGTTGTCTAAGAGAAAGAGCTCTCACTCTAAGTTACTTAAAGGGAGAACAAGGTCAGTACATTTATGGGGATTCTCCGTAAGTAACTACTCAGGTTTGCTCAATTTAGGTGGTTTACAATCAGGTCTGAACAGACGGCGCCATTTGTGTGCCGCGACCACCACGAAGGACGCCATACCGGTTGGACCTCAGTGTTGGACCGCAGCATCGGTCACTTTATTGGGCATTTACTCAGCTGGTGGGGACAGAAATGACTAAACTGGATGTTTGCTGTTGCCAGGGTTTTGGACTGAGTGGAGGAGCGGCTTATCCGGGGATCTCTCCCTGGCCAATCGGCGGCCAGCAGTCTGCCGTCGGCCCGACAGCGATGGAGTCGGGCCAAGCTGCACCTCATAGCGAAAAATCATTGCGAGTGACAAAAAAAACAACAGCATTTATTAGAGAATCGCTCAAAAAACCCAGCGCCGACGGCATCCAGCTGCAGAGGTTTGCCTCCACGGCACCCCTCCGCTCTCATCAGACATGCTTCGTCCTGATTTCCATCTTTCCGGAGTGGAAATCGTAGTGCTGCGGGATAATGAGCGCGATGCTTTAAAGCTTTAAAGCTGTCGTCTAGTTTCCTCCGCGTTCGCACGGTCCCCCAGAACCCCACCTCGCCCAACACCTCCGGGCAGTTGGATGACAGAGCAAACAAGCGGCGCGCTGTCCCATAATTCTGAGCTGGCGCACGGTGGCCGTGGGAGCTGCCTTGTGGGCGCTTGTAATTCAGACGGAGACCATGTTGAACTTCAAGGAGGGGAAGCGCAACGACTGTGGAAGACTTCCACAAAAGCTTTCCTTCCGCATGACTTTCATATCTCGGAACGTCTGAGATACGATTTAACGTCTGGAGATGCAGGGGTCAGTCTAACCGGCGTCTGGTTCGGACTTGAATCGGCCGGTATGTGTTCATTTGAAATAGTTGAAAGTCGTCTGGAGGGAAAAGCTTCTGTGCGTCGGCGTCCCGTCCCAGACACCGCCTCGGAACGGGAACATGCGAGAGGAAAATTGTCCGCGTTAGGGGATGTGAAAGGTCTTTGAAGATCTCTAGAAGCAGAGTGTCGGTCTGAGCTTGTCTGCTTTGATGGAAAACTAGTCATTAAAATGCTAGCCGCGTGCTCGGCGGCGGGTGGACACGCGGAAAGGGAAGTGACGCACATGTGGACGGCGTGAGCGGAACATATGATGACTGATGACTTCGAAAAGGAGACAGGAGGAGGCCCTAAAGCCCAGGACAGGCCGGCGCCGTCCCGATTTAGGATGCGGTGCGTGACCAGGTGCGTTACCCTGTCAGGAGCCCCGCGTAGACGCCGGCCATCCGTATTTGAATTCCAGTTGTCGCGTGCTGGAGGAGATGGATTGTGTGCGCACGTGAGCGTGCGTGCCCGTTTCGTTTTCCCTGCTTCGTGCAAAAGGTGAGTCAACGCCAACCTCAAACTGTGACGCGCGCTGTGCGTGCTACTGTGAGGCCGCGTGTGAACAGATGATGCTGACCGGTGCTGACCGAGGCCACTCGGTGCCCGACTGGTCCCGTTCGTGGTAGCAGCAGCCTGTCCACCGTTACACGGTGACCGGATTTGGGTCGCGAGCTGACCGCG